CCCCCCCCCCCCCAAAAAACCTTATTTAGTTTCCGAAAGTTCCCCCCCCCCAAACCCAATTAAAACTTCGTTTATTCCCCCCAAAAAAAAAATTTTTCGAAATAACAAAAAAAAAGGCCCCCAAAATTTTTTATTCGAAAAAAACTTTTTCGCAAAAAAAAACGTCCCCTTCCCCGCCTTTTTTTTCCCCCCCCTCCAAACCAATCAACTTTAAAAAACCATCCCCGGGGGGTTGGGGGGGGGGGGTTGCGATGCATCTTTGTTACAGTCCCCTCCTTTCGGTGACGACTTCTTCTTGTGTGGCATGTGGCACTCATCTTCCTTATGCTCTGCCCCTCGGTGCTACCGCAACTAGTTAATTGCCGCCTTCCCCCTGTTTCTGACAGGCGTTTGTGATGGTCAACTCGGAGCAGGAGATCACCATCAGCCATGACCAGAGGCAGCAGATCCTTCGGGTGCGTTTAGAGTGTGACTAGTGCCGCTTTCTGAAAGCTGAATGACCGTTCGGGCACGAATGTGAGACAGTATCCCAATCGTGCCAATTTTTTATAATTCCGAACAGATTGTTGTCGCAGTGACTCCTGTGTCTGTAGGTCCACATGTGGTGTTGGGGGGCGGGCGTGGGCGGGCGTGTGGTTAGTGTTTTTTTCATTCAGTTGTTTTCCTTGCTGCTCTACACCTGCCTCACCCTCCTCCGTCGCTCTCTTGTCTCCGTTGTGCGGTACCCGGTCGTCTTTGACGACATTCACAACAACACCGACACACCCCCGACAAAAAAAACAACGACGAACGACAGCAACGCCGACAGCACCGACGACAACAGTATCAGCAAGTCACACACGCCGTCAATCTCGAAAACCAAATGTTCCAACGGAAAACGACACCCAAAACTATCGACGACAGCCCCGATGCCCGTGTTTGAAACATGAACAACAGTACATGGCCTACCGCGAGTTTTCGCCGCTGAGGGAGTCGGAGAGGGCCGACATTTTCCTCGACGCCGAAAGAGAGGTGTGCCAGATGCTGCAGCTGAACCTGGTGTCCACCTTCCACAACTCGACCGCGTTTACGGAGGTGCGTTGTCATTGTTGTTGTAAGGACTATGGGTCCACCCAGGGTTTCCCACAAGGTGCATGTTTCCGGGTGTTGCAGCACAGCGAGCAAAACACTGCTGTTGCGCCTGTTTTGGTTTTAGCCTCCACGTTTTGCGTGAAGTCTTGAGTTGTCCGACGAAGCGAGAACCAGCACGCAAGTCCGCCATTTCCATGATCTGCCCCGTGCGTTGTATTCCGTGTCCCCCCACGAAGGCAGCCGCGGAAGCCTCATCAGGGCACACGCATCCAATTTTTGTTCAACCAACCTTTGTAGCACCTGCGGCCGTTTCATTTTTCCACTCCCGATGCTCCCTCTGGGGCTCCGGTAATCCCGCACCGCCGCATATATACATGCGTTTTGTGTGTTTTCCAGACATGCGCCGCCACGGACGTGGAACACGTGGAGTGGGACCTGGAAGAGGAGAAGGGCCTCATCGATAGCGGCGACGAGGGCAGCAGCGGTGGCGGGGGCGCCGTGGAGATGACGGGGGGGGGGGGGAGCGGTTGGCGGGACGGGAACGCCGACGACGTGGACGTGAGCTGGCAGGGAAGCGGCAGCGACGCGGCGAGCTGGCGAGGGAGCGGCAGCGCGCTGCTGTCGCACGTGAGCCTGTCTACGTCAACGGTTCCCGCTCCTTCTCGATAGCGACGGCTTATTTTGTTTTTACCGGTCCGTGCAAGGAGAGTGCGCGGTGTCGAAACCAGCACCCTCCGTTGTGCCGGTTTTGTGGTACACAAGCGGGGAACACGGCCCTAGTGATTGTAAATAGAGGTGTGAAACATACATGGCATACAGACACACTGTTTTGTGTGTTTTTCGATTCATGTACGTTTTGGGGTTAGGAGCAGAGATAGATGAAGAAGCAGAGATCCAAACGCTCTTGTACCATGGATGGGGCAGGCCGGCGTACTCCTTAAAAGCCGGGATGAAATTTGTCGGGATTTCCTAAACCAAACAGGCGTTGTGGTTCCGAGACGCCGCCGGTCCGTGAAGCGTCCAAGAACCGGTCGCACGGTTTTTATTTTTTTTTAAGGGACGAGGTGGTGGGGGCCGTCGCGCCCGCCCTCGACTGTAGCGTGTGTTTGCGGGCCCTTCCCTTACCACGCGATAGAAGAGAGACTTAAGTTCTCGCGGCTTCGGCCCTCAGCCTGCGTGATTCGTTTGGTCTGTGTGTGTTTTTATTGTTCCTTAATACACGCACGGATTGGTTTTTGTGATCGATGTAGTATATTTTTGCCACCGCCGTTTTTGTGCGTTTTTTCCTTTGACGAACGGCGGTATTGAGGTATGTCGTATCTGTGTTTTTTTAAGTATTATAATAGCGTCGACCGTGCTTACCGGTTGACCAATGAAAAGACGTCAGTCTCAGCGCGGCTGGCTAAAAACCGATGATGCTTCTAAAGGCCATGACCTGGGACCCCGTAAGGGGGCGTCATGGGGAAGGTCAAGCTGCTCTCGGGATTGAAGTGTGTGCGTGCTCTTGTGTACGGTGGGATGGTTGATAAAGGAACGCTTTTGAGTTTGGTGAAAGAGACATGCCTGTGTTCGGTGCAGACACCTCATCGTCCTTGCGCACACCTTTGACGGACGGAAAAGTCTTGCCTTTTGTTCCCAAGTTTAAGGTAAGGGGCTCGAACACTTCATTAGCATTTCTTTGTTTTTCTTGCCCCTGCCAAGCCGCGCTTGTTGGGAACACGCGTGCTGCTCCCTGCCGTAGCTATGCTACAAGGCCGTGGTAGGGGATGGAAGGAGGCCGACGGGGCGGATAGTTTGGAATTTTTACAGTAGGCCAGCCTTCTTTCTGTCGAGCTCCGCTCGGAATTCTCATCCACCGAAACAGTCTTGTCTCGATTTATTCCATTGCAGAGCGAGCCCTCTTTGTTTTGGAAGCGATTGAGTACGTTGCATGAGTTCCATGAAAAATTGCTCGGGGTCGAGTACGACGACAGATTGGATCGCCAGTCTTTTCAGACGCTCGTTCTTTTACAATCCATCCGGGGATGATAGGTCCAGGATAAATTGGCGATTGTATTGCAGTCTTGGAAGACGAGAAAAAGAACAAGACCCCAGTTCAGAGCGCATGGATACAATGAGCACAGACAGGCCGCGCCGCCGTTGGCCGCTCAACAAGAAAGAAGGCGTTCGTCACCGAGGACGGACCCGCCTCCGCCTACCTTCTACAATACCCTACTCTACGCGGTGGTAGTACGGCTCGGCAAAACTCGTCAGCAGTACTGGATTGCTCCCAACCGCTCACGAGCCACCCCCTCCCCCCCCCCCGACTGCTCGCCGACTCGTCAACAAGTGGGGGCAATGCAACACGCACATGGATAAATCTAGGCAGCAACCATGCATCTCGCAAAACCAGTTCCGTGTTTTTACAGTACAGGCCCGAAACTCAAGAGAGGGAGCGCTTGGTTCTTGGACGGGCTGCTGACAACCGCCCGCGAGCACCGACACTAGATAGGCTTTTGACATACCCTTGGCCGACACAATACAATACACGTACTTTAGCCACCTCTCGAGGAGTGGTCGGTGTACCCGATACGGTCAGGTTTCTGACGACGCCAAAGCCAATAGATCCGTACAGTACAACGAGGTATAAATTGTCAGGGAACACAGCAGTATTTAGAGTCCGGCGCTGAACTCGTGAATCACGGGGTACGATGGCACACCCCAAACCGCCCAACACTTGTGTAAGACTTTGCGGTCGCTTTTACTTCCTACTTCCCCGCGGGCTCTGCGGGCAGGCGCATACTTTCATACATCCGGCCCGCATATCACCACCCACTTCAATGCTAATGTTGGTCACGCCCGTCTGTCGCGATCCCTCCCGCAAACAAAAACAAAAAATAGGAAACCATGCATCACACACGACGGCACCGACAATTCCGAAGGATAAAAACCAACCTATTTTTACGACAGGTCATCCCACGCGAGACCTTCCCCGATGGAGGGCATCGCACCGTCATCATCCTCTGCAACATCCTCTTCCTCTTCCTCCTCCTTCTCGCGTGCCACTACCGCCTTACTTGCGCCGCGGCCCTTCTTCTTCTTGCCACCCCCCCGCTTCCCGCCACACTCTTCTTCCTCCTCCTCCATGTCCGCCGCCCTTCTCTTGGACGCCTTCTTTGCCCCAACCCCCTTACCCCCGGAGGGCTTCTCCTTCTCCTCGGCCTTGCTCCGTGCCCCCCTCGCCGCTCTTTTCCGCGCGACCCCCTCGTCTACCGCTTCGGCAACCGGCAATGGCGCTTTCCGTTTCTTGCTGCTCGCTACGGCGGCGGCACCCCCCCCTGCCGAAGCAGGCGTCGACTTCTCCGTAACCCCCACCTCATCGCCGTCCGAATCGTCGTCATCGTCGTCGTCGTCGTCCTCCGCTTCAAACCTCGCGAGTCTCGCCGCTTCCTCGGCCTCAACGGCGGCGAGGTCCTCCTCCGCTTCCTCCTCCTTCCTGCTCATCTTCTTGCCGTTCTTCTTCTTCTTCTTGCCGCCGACGCTGTCGCCGGCCTTGCCCTTGCCCTTGCCACCCTCCTCCTCCTCCTCGTCTTCCAGCGCGGCGGCGGCGGCGGCGATGGCCTTGGTTGCCGTCATGGCGTCGACGTCGAAGCTGGCCTTTACCGTCGGCTCCGCCGCCACGCTCTTGGGCGTCTCGCCCTCGGCCAGCGGCGGCGCCACGAAGTACGGCAGCTTCCCGCGCTGGTAGTCGTTGATGATGTTCACCGCCACAGAGTGGAAGTCGGGCTCTCCACCCGCTAGGAGTCGGCCGGACCTGCCTCCCGTTTCGAACCGGGTGTATATAGGCGTAATTTTGCAGCGCAATGGACGTTGGAACCGGCGAAAAAAGAGGGAGGGCAACACACACACAACGAATTCCCAAGAGAAGGAGCGAGAGAAAAAAAAAGAGAGAGGGAGGGAGGGAGGGAGAGAGAGAGAGAGAGAGAGAGAGAGAGAGAGAGAGAGAGAGAGAGAGAGAGAGAGAGAGAGAGAGAGAGAGAGAGAGAGAGAGAGAGAGAGAGAGAGAGAGAGAGAGAGAGAGAGAGAGAGAGAGAGAGAGAGAGAGAGAGGGTGATAAGTTGAGGGGTGGTACACACTGGGCGAGGACGCCGAGGAAGACACGTTGCCCGTTTTATGGCGATTCTGCAACCCTTGCTGTGGAGCTTGTTGCTAAGCTCCACGTTGAGAGACGTCGGCTACTATCGGCGAGACGTCGGCTACATAGGCGAAATGGTCGTCCTCATTTACTCACAGCGGATCACCGACAATCCATCGGCACGTTCGGTTCAGACATTTAAAGCACAGCTGCAGCAAACGCGCAACCAAGACAACACGAGGGACGAGGCCAAAACGTCAAGCGAACAATAATCACAACCCACAAACAGAACGGACCCATTATCTCTGTCTTTATCAGTCCTACTTGCCTGCCTGCCTGTCTGAATCTGTTACTATCCGCCTCTTTGACTCTGCCTCTCCCCTCCCCCCCCCCCGCTTGTCTCTCCGCCCTCTCCCTTCCTCCGTGCATTCCGTCTCCCTGCTTCTCTTCACACCTGGCGGCGAGCTTGGTCATGAAGTCCGTCGCGTCCTCCCAGGCGGCCACCCCGTACAGCCGGCGGACGTACTCCTCCTTCACCCGCGACAGGATGGCCGGCACGAAGTCCGTCGGGTCAGGAAGCTTCTCCGCCCGCACAACCCCCTTCAGCACGATCTCGATCTCGTCATCACCGTCGTCGTAGACCACCTTTGATCCCAGACAGAAAAACGCTATCGAAAATCAAGACGAAAAAAAAACAAAGAAAATACTGCAGGGGAGTTGTGGCGCTTAAACGTCACACCAATAGCTGCGGCAGGGCAAAGTGCGCGCTGGGTAAAAGGTTTCATAAAGAAATAACCCACATACCGCAACACACACAAACGTGGCACGACGTTTTTGACTTAACGTCAGCCCAGAAACAAAAAGCCGTACACGCTTTCTCGCGTAACACGCGGCTATGTATGTTTATTTACTGAGAGGAGCCTCGATACTCTGCCCGTCCTCTGTGCATCTTCTTGTCGAAAAGGGTCTCACCCCTGGGCAGTCGACGATGAAGATGCGACGCATGAGCGCGATGTACTGCCAGACCTTCGTCTCGCCCGGCACGGGCGCAACCTTGCAGACCTGCAGCACGGCGGGGGGGAGGGGGGGGGGGGCGTGATCAAGGGCATACATACGCTTCGTTTCAGACCGTGCAAGCTCAACGTGATGCATTGCCACGAACGGAATGCAGCCTTACCGCCGTGAACTTCGCCTCGTCCTCTCTCCCCTACAGGAACGGGGGCGTTCGCGTGTCAAAAACCTTGCCAACCGAGCAGTTCGCATCACAATACGCAGCTCCAAAGAAGCTGAAAAAAAACAAAAGTTGGGGCGCGCAGGAGGTAAACGAACACAAGCTTCACTCACCTTCTTCTTCTTGAGGGTGTTGATGATGGAGCTCTTCCCCACGTTCGGGTAGCCGACCACGCCGACGCTGATCTGCTTCTTGTCAGGGTGAAGCTTGGCGAACTGAAGAAGCGAGCGAATACACCACCGACAACACACGGAGGGGAGGGAGGGAGAGAGAGAGAGAGAGAGAGAGAGAGAGGAGGTGGTCAGGCAGGGGGGGCGGCGGTGGAGACAACCTCGACCTCACGCCAAACAACAACAACAACAATCGGCAACCGAAACATCAAGCCACGAGCACAAGATTTCCATTCAAGCAAGAAGGACGGGGGTGACGATGCCACCCAGGAGAAACGCTCACAGTACTCCCACAGCAACTCGCAAACACGGGTAGTGATCGGCTGCTCTACTCTAACCTATCGTCCCGTGCCGAGTCAGTCACAGCAACAACGTTTTGCAACTGTTTGCTGTACCTGTCTCAGCAGGTTGATGAGAGCACCCTTCCCGAAGCTGTTCGTGATGGACGCGTGGAAGGCCAGGGTGGGGTGCGTCGCGGAGAGGAGCTTGACCCACTTCTTCGTCACCCAAGTGGGCACCAAGTCCACCTGGTGACAAAAAAAGAAGGGCAGATACAGTAGGCGGGCAGGTAAGCGAAGCAGCAAGCGGCGGCCACGGTAAAACGGCAGGGGCAGCAGAGAAGCAGGCAGCAAGAAAAAACCCAGCAGTCACAGCACTCATAGACAACAAAGCGATCGAGGAATGACCCCAAGAGGCGGGGTATGCTTGAGCAGCGCCGCGCGTGCTGCGAGGTGTCCCGACAAGCCGTTTGGCGCCCAAAACAACCTCCCACCCTACGGCGACTAGAACACCTACAACAAAAACATGAAATGTGCGTCCGTAGAACACGCGATACCATCAGCAACGGATTCAACAGCCACGGAAGACAACAGTGCGAAACCAGGCGTTTCAATGCCCACCAAACAAACACCACACACAGCTTTCGACCCTCCTTCGCGTCTACACAGCCAGCCCTTCCTCTCGCCTCCCTCCTTCCCACGCAACCCCGACCACGCCACCACAGGCAGACCGCCTTCGCGAGAAATTATTTTTTATGAGGAAATAGTAACAGGGAGGAGGTACGCACCCCACACCCCTAACGCCCTACCCCAACTTCCCCGATTCGATTGCATGCTTTATCCAACATCGTTACTCGATAGAAAAGACCCTTCGAAGGCTATTGGGCCACAGGCATAGCATTAGCGAACCTTGTTGATGACGAAGATAAGGTGCTTGTGGGAGGCGTTCTTCTTGAGGTGCCTCTCCAGGTGGGGGCAGCGAGTTCCGGGAACGTTCCTCGCGTCGAGAACCTGGATCACCACGTCTGAGCAATCCAGCACCTGCCCGACGTTGTCGTGGCAATTTGAACGTGGCAGCAAACCAACAAAATCGAACAAGCAAAAACGCTCAAGGGGATGATGGACTCATGAGAAGCGGAGTGTAGTGTCGGCGGAGCAATCTCAGCTTCTACTCTGGGCCTGAGAACAAATCTGCGCGCACGGGTTGAAGCGATCTTGACTCGCCGGCCACGCTGGGGAGATCGAAAATTATTTTCCGCGAGCATGAACGGTTGGCCTCACAAGACAAAAGCGCAATCACGTTGCTCACACACACAACAAAACAAAAAATAAAAGCAAAACACGGTCAACGCTAGTTTTCCGCCGCTGTCGTCGTCGGTGTCCCCTGGATTAGACCCATTCCTTCCCACACGCGCGTGGTCCATAGGCACATGCCGTGTCAAACCGACCAGGTACATAGCTTAGGACCCGCCCCCCCCCCCCCCCCCCCCTCGGCCTTGTTTGCCATCGGGGTTTGGGTTTTCGTCGCTTGGCAACGACGTTGTAAAACAAGCCGCCCCCCCCGGTGTTTACCATCGGGGTTGGGTTTTCGTCGCTTGGCAACGACGTTGTAAAACGAGCCCCCCGCTCGGTGTTTGCC